TACTTAAGCTGTCCCAGCGGTTGTAGAGCCTCTACCCCCATAGACATTCATTCACAACTAGATTACCAGGTAAAAAAACAACCAGCTGACGTGACCAGCATTCGTAATAGTGCTTCGATGGTATGTTAATGCTGCAGTATTAACGATACGCGTCTGTCAGCTTCGTTGCTTCCGTATCTCAATATACCTAAGCTAGAATGCATGTATAGCTTTTTCAGCATCTATTTCTAACCTGATGTTGATTTACGAAAAATACTTGCTTTCTATCTTTTCATTCAGGTTTAAAAAATCAACAACCATGAAAATCGCGTAAAATTTTAATATTATTTTTCTTTTTCCATGGGCTAAATAAATACAACATACATCATCGAGATGCGAGAATGCTATGATATCCAAGCAAGAAAATCAATTTTGAGCTCGTTATTTACTAATTAAAAAACAACTGTCATCGTTAGAGTCCATGATTTTCGTAACAATATTGCGAGGCGTTCGAAGCTAATTGCTTGTTTCCCCCATCGTACGGGACAGGGCGTATACTAAATACATGCTAGTTAGTGAATACGTACCAGTGATCGGTAGGAGTAGCCTTCTTGATTGGAAGCGAAGCTGTCCTGAAGACAAAAATGAGTTGAAGTCTACCGCTGTTTCGAGCCCCAAGATTGCGACCTCACTGTCGGCCGTTTCCTACTAGCCTAGCGGGAGATGATTTTCACGCATTAGATGACATAGGTCAACTAATGTCCTTAGTAGTTCTATTGGCTAGATGGTGACAGATGTGAGTGAAGCACAGTTACATCAAATACTAACTTCGTAGGTAGGTAGGTCTGTGTGAGCATTGAAAACTTCAACACGTTTGCTTGGGACATCGCATGGGTATGGGGATGTCATTGAAGCTTGGCTTTCGATCATAGTAAACGGAATAGGTGATGGTATAGCACTCAAATTAGCTTTTCTAAACAAATATTTCTCTTGCTGGGAAAGTGATACAGCAATAGTATGCGTATCTGGCCGAAACAGGCAAAAATAGTCTTTTTGGTACCTGCACGTATCGAACTACGGGTCCTTGCCATTGGAAATATAGTACGAACTTGATTGCGACCTTGTACTTTCAATGGCGTGGTTATCTATGTAAAATTCTAATAATGATTTATGGTGATATGCACACGATGATTCTAACCAATGTACTTAGTATTCTATTATTTATAGATTGGACATGATATTCGACTGCCTATGTATTTGTATAAAATTCCGGTAAAAAAAACTATACGATCTGGGTTCAGCTTTATCGTTTACTCTTTGTGCCTAGCCTTTTTGTACTTTCCAGTAGAGACGAGAGAATCGATGGAGCCAATATCGAAAATGGAGCGGTGCCCATTTAGCGGTCATCATTAGCGCCACTACACGTCGGAAAAAACATCGATGTATCCGTTGAATTCGACTAAAATAAACTGGGGGACGGCAGACGACACCCACTAGCCGAAGTTTGTTTGTTTACACGACGAATACCGACCGAAGTGCGTAGAAAAGTTGCGGCTACACTCAGTATAACCGGGTCTCTCTATTGGAAAATACCTACAAGTCCACGGGTGTAAAGAGGAACGTTTGGTTGGCAACAAATTGACGAGATGCACGTTTTCTGTGTGAACCCATTCAATATATACAATGTTAAATTGGAGCCCAACATCGACGTTAAGTACAAATTGGCTCTAGAGGGCCAAATTATATTTGCAAATCATTTTGAATAGGCAATCATTTTAACGAATAAAAGAACCTTGAAAGGCTCGCACTCGGTGGATCTTTACCCTTCCATTGTATCTGAATGGACGTCGCAAGTCTATTATAAGTAAGATTCATGGCGGAAAACGCGCTACTATTCGGGCAGTATACAGAATACGTGCAGACGGTATTTAGCCAACCAAACTCAGTGTTTACTAGTAACCTAGACGTTTCGAACGTAGTAAGCTATATATGATGCCACAATCGTTTCAATAACCAGTTCGACATGAGTGGACAAGGCTGGCTAACGTTTAAAAACGTTAAAATGTTTAAATAATAGGATTTACCTTTTTTTCGGATATAAGCATTGAATGATAGCAATACAGACATATTTTTTGTTATTTTGCAAAATAAAGGTACCTAACGAAAATCTTCTACGAGTCATTCGTAATCAATTTTCAACGAACTGCAATTTCTTCGCTTTGATGTTCGCGCAATATGATGGAGTTCCTTGCACTTTCCTGTTAGTTAACTACTTAAAAAGTTTTGAAAAATTATTGATTAAACGTATATCGATAGATAGATTACTTACACCGCGCAGAGTCGAAGCGTTAGGTTGCCAATCGTGAGGTTGAAAATTGCTCTTGGTTCGAGCTTTGCATTCGGTACGTCCAAACATAGTTTTCTGACTTATGGCCTTGATAATTAAATGAAGCAATAGAAATAGTTATGATGCCCAAGGGTTTTAACCCTAAACCTTACAGTAACGATCAATGTCATCGATGATATTTTTTTAGAAGTTCACGTAGTTAAACGTGGATATCAGGAAAGCTAGTAAAAGCTTAACGGCGTCAAAAGTCTACGTTTCATTATGAAACAGTAACTTCTTTCAAGGATCAACCGTTTCGACTGAGCATGAATCGATGGATAGGTATACAAGAGGCATCGATTAGTCTAGTGGTAAGCTAACGTCGATTCTGTAATCCGTAGGACAAGAAGAATTTAGGTCCGCTATCATCCATTGTAAGCCTCAGTAAAAAAGATAGCGGATCGGCTCGAGTGCCGTTGACGTTCTCTGAACTTAAGAGTTCTGCCTAAATGAAGCCATTCACAATATTCAACCAATTATAACTGTTTCATACTGTTACAAAACAAGAGGAAGACTGGTTAACCAGTTATGTCTACGTAAGTTGTGGTATTCCGTTACAAAGTACTGTCATTCGATACGTAAGTACGGTAACGACTTCGGAGACTGAAAATGTTCATATTGGCCAAACTGGTTACTATGATGAGGTGAATTGATGTTTAAACGTTTTAATCGTTTAAAAAATTACTGAAGCTGCAATAAACAACGTCCTCGGCAACGTAAAAGACGAAGGTTGATGTAGATGCGTAACATATTGATATTGTTTCAATCTTTAACCTAGGTTGCTATCAATTATTAACGCAAATATTCCATAAATTCTGAGATACGTGAGACCCGAGATGGCGGAGGGATATGGGAAACCCCTTGAATGGATCTCTTGGGGTCTCTGAGGTAGTACTGCAAGTGCCGTTGCCATGTGTTTACGAAACAGACATTGAAATCACCTATTTTTCTTACCATTGACAAGTTATTATAGGGACGTGAAATCAGCGTGTGCAACGTTTTCCCTCCGATGTGATGAAACTTATTGTATATAGCTTTCGTACTGCGTAATATAAGTTTTTCGATGATACGGCTCGTTGCTTTCACTATAGCTATTGGATTTTTTTTTGTAACGATCAATAAGTACTTCGAACTACGTCTTCTTTATTTAGAGAGAGCGGTAAACAGCTATACAATCTTTATAAGTATATATATAAACTATACAAGATAATCATAACGGTTTCTGTTACTAACGACATATGATTAGTTATCTTAGTCGGTACGGTCCACCACTTACTCGAGAGGTTAAACGCATTAAACACAGTTAGGCAGACATTACGTTAGTTATATTTTAGGTATTTTTCTAATTTTTCTTGCAATTGTCTAATACAGGACATTACCTGAATTTATCCGGTACCGTGTACTGGTGTCGCTTGTATAGTTACATTCTACCTGGAAGCTTAACGAATATTTTTACAACTCTTACCTGTTTTTTGCCCCGATATCTCTAAGCGTTAGTCAGCTCTCACCTTGAGAATCCATACATCTTAACATGTGTTTTCAATGGACTGCATTTAAATAAATTACATATATGGCTTTGGTTTGATAACCCGCTCCTCCAACGAAAGGCTAACATTTACAATAATTTTTCTCACATTTATAAATACATTCTATTTCGCATATGTTAAAAGAGAAATCCATATACCCGCAGTATCTTTATATAACCTTTACCTTTAGAATGCCAGTTCCTCTTTGGCGTGGCAAATTGATCATTCTCTTCGCTAAGAGCCATTTAACTTAAAGCTAAAAAAGCAAATCTGACCTAACAAAAAAACTACCCACATGGAGCTCGTGCCACGTCTGTATAAGTCATAGAGGGAAGAAATATAAATGAATGCAACAAAAAAATAGCTTGGTCACAGGGCACACCTATTTGATTCTTCAGTCCATTGTACGGTAATTATTAATAAGTTAAGTATAATAAGTTATTCAAAATACGGCGTAGCATACGTATGTACTCGTTTTAACGCACTTTCTAAGTTCTTAATCTACAAATGTTTCAAATCTTACGTTCAGAATTCCCTGTAGTTAAGCATTCCGTTGGATAGCTGGCTCCAAGCATAAAACGAGCCGTGTACGTCCGCCTACACACCTTTGATTTTTTAAAATGTCTGAAAAATTCCATTTACGAACTACTTGGTTCGCCCTGGCACATTTTCCCAAATGGCCCAGGTAAGGAACTAGACTACCATTAGGCTCAAGGGGCAATCATCTTCACTGTTGTTGAGATTTCCGGGAAAAAGAGCAACTACCCGGTAACCGCCATCCTCCGCCGGGACTAACTGTAATGCTTGGAAAATTACTTGAAATCTAAATCACTTTATATGTGCCTAGGTCTACTACGCAAGATTACGTAGTGAATAGTGTAGTAAAGCTTGCTTGCGGCACATGTAATGGCTTGGTTCGAATCTGAGCGTGGACACACGGCTTCTAATGATAATGACTGGGAGCCAGCCGTCTGTCTGACGGAATGCCCAATGGCGGTACCGGACGTAAAACTCGAACCACCACTCGAAGTTAGTAGGCAAAAACCGTTACGGGAAAAATAGATTTTTAACTAAATGTCAATATTGTTACTTTCATTTTTCTGCTGCAGCGTCGCAAGATCGGGGTCTGGAGACCTGTACTCTGCGCTTCGTCCGTTGGCCTGTGGCCAAAACGGCCTGCGGCCAGCGTCGTCGGAGCGAAGTGACGGCCACCATGGAGATCGCGTGCTGCCTCAATCAAGAGGCTAAATTACAGCGCAAAGTCAATGATGAAATCGAAAAGCAGCTCACGCGTGAGAAGACCGACTTAAGCAAGTAAGTTATTTTATTTTTCGCCGCTTGTGGAAATGGCGCTATAGCAGAGGCATGAAAAATCTACTTAGTAGTGTTTCTTTGCCCAAAAAGGAATTAAGAGGAACAGGGCATCAAGTTCGTGAAGAGGTAATTTATACAAAACTATTAGAGCTCGTATTACAATCGTAAATTAATAATTTCGTAGGTGCTCTCTGCGACGAACGACTGTTTTGCAAACTTAAATTGGGCTGTAAGAAGTCCCTCAAAGGGTATTCAGGGGTGTCATCTTTGCCAAAATTGTATCCATAGGGACAACTATAATAGTAGAGACATATACGTTTATAAGACATATAAAGTAACGCATTGTTCTTTCTAAAAATAAAGATCTATCTAAAAACTTTTTATTTATTCATCAAGATTTCAAGCTCAACGCTCTATAGCCGTAGAAATCCAATGGCGAGATTCAACATCCCAGCGATTTTATTTCTATCATGCGTAATTCCAAATTACTATCAAAAGTGGATATCTTTGTAAATATTGCAATATATGCAAATTGCAAATATTTCTAGGATTTGTAAAAGTTATGTTTTACGCTGACTAGCGTTACCAACCATTTTTTCTGATCGGCAGCAAATTCCATATATCGTCTAAGTAAAGAGGTTCTTATCGAGATTCGTACTGAGGATCATTTGCCGGTAGCGTAACTCGAAAACGCACTTTAGGAAAGGTCCGATAAAATTTCGTAAAGTCACGCATTATCAGCAACTCAAGGTAATGTATAACACATAACATAAAGATGATCAATGACCCGAGTCATCCGTGCGAAGATCATGCGCTGAATACGAATTCTGTCAAAAAGCTATTGTAAACAGTAATAGCTGCAACGTGTTACGAGTACCGGAATATATTCTAGATAAGGGTCAGGTTTATTGCCGTACAAGTAGATAGTAAATAAGCAGGTCGCATCGACACTTACACTATATTTAAATAACTCATAGTTAAATCCCACCAAATGACCAGCATTACCGTTCGGCCATTAGCGGCCACCTTCAGTGCCAGCTTTGATGCTTGTCTACAGCTTAGCGGCCTTTTCTGCATTGAGATTATCACAGAGTAACCGTGTTTGTCTCTAGCGATAACTTATTTTTTTTTTGTTTTCGCACCCGCAAACATTTGGCCGGCTGATTCCCATAAACGTGTATCGGGTTCTAAAATTGGCTGGGAGGCATTTTCATTTGATAGGATTTGCTTCTTCAGATCGTTTGGAGCGTTTTTTGTCATCCAAGTCGAAATCTTTATCCCCGAAGTGCTTAAGCTATAATTGGTCTTAGAGGCTACACTATTTCTAATTTTTCGAATCTCTCTTCCACTTTTGTAGGGCAATCTAAGTTGCTACATGCCTCAATCGATCCCAATTGCTCTGTAAAGTAATCCCCGCCAAATTCAATGCGAGTGTCCCACCTGTTCTTTTGTAGTTTTTGCAAAACTTCGGTCATTTAGTTCTAAAAACAGATGTTATTTTTGTCTTTTTTTTTCTTGAATATTCGCAACTATCTCTTTTTTTTTTTGCTTTTTGGTGTTTTTTTTTTCGTTTTGACAATAGCAAAGGTCACAAGGGGCTAAAGTTAGTGAATACCTGGGTTGAGGCTTCTCTTTTTGTGCGCGAAGGTCCCCCTGAGGCCGTTCTTGAATGGTCTGCATTTCTACAAATTGAGATCTTCCTGCACATTTTATGTTGTAGGCTTTCTCATTTCCTCGGGTGCGAGGTCTAACCCTTCTGTAAGCTTCCTGAAGGTAATCTAGCGCGAGTTGAAAGTTTTTGTCCGAACTCGCTGTTTTAAAAAAGGGACACGTCTTTAAGTTTGGGTTCGACTTCCGAGGGTTTCCGGCGTTTTTCAGAAATCGTGTCTACTCTGATAAGTCTATTCAGCGAAATTAACATCCTCAACACGGTTGCTACTCCACACTATAGAGTTTAACTTGTGAAGCCACAAATATTTTCGGGTCCAAATGTCTTCAAGCAAACGTTTTCTGCGACAGTTACGCCGGTAGCTAAAAGATGAACAACTAACCCGTGCCATTCCATCAACGGAGCTAACTTATTCAATATTACATATGGGCACATACCGCCTGACGTACGACGCCACATGCATCGCCTGTTACCTTGAATACGTCACTGTGTACGTAGAAGTCTACCGGCCAAAATTGGGCAAATGATAACAGGCAACTGCTTAAATCAGGCTTCTACTAATCGTTTAAGGCCAAACGAAATATTGTCACTATTTCGTCTAACCGTTGCAAGCGATAACTTTTAGTATTGGACGTCAATTTGTGTAAGACAATAATAAACTCAACAGAATCCGCCCTTAACTACTGAATACTTGCTGGTCACGATGCGATTTCTCAGCATATATTCTAGAGTAGGCCGGTTGATGCAATCACTAGGACTGAAACGTTGATTCGTACTATGCTAAATATATTGTGGAGGTAGCTTGTGACAAAATATCTTTTTTTGTCACCACCTTTTACTATAGATGTCTTATTTCTACTCAGCAAAGCTCCAGTAATGTACAGAGCCCGCCGAACTGGTCTGGGGTAATTCGCAAATGTAAACGCTGATTTCGATTTAGCTTAACTTTTAGTATGCAGATCTAGAAGCCTGACTTTATGGAACTTCAACTCGGAAGTGACCGCTCATTTCCGAACTAGTTTTGTGCCTACTCGAGTTTTTAGGATTAACTACATTGTGCACCATTAGCTGATCAGACTTACCAATCACGATAGCATCATAACTGTTTTTTTTTTCAATTAAATGCAACTATGGTCAATAGTCACACTAACCTCCATTATATTGTCGTAAAATGTATAATATTCTATCGAATATCAAATGAAAGAAATGTATCAAAATCTATAACAGTGTTCGACGGTCGAACGGATAGGATCATCTTTATTGGCAGACTTACATTGAATTATCTCTTTGCTAACCCTATCTTACTAGCAGTTACTTATAACTTTTACTTACAATTTTTTAACTATAATAAATAAACATTATTCTTGTGATCATTCTTTTTGTCAATGCTTACAAACATTGTATGTAATCACTTCGGTATGCGGCAGAACGATGCATAATGCCGTAGCAAAAGGCTGCATTAGAAACGTTTTTATAGTATTTACGTTTCGACAACTTGAACTGGAAGCGAAGTATTGTTTGAATGGCAACGTACTAGCATGCAGAGACAAGTCGATCACGTGGATTGTCCATATGGCAATGTCCGTTGCCTTAATGATGGAGTAGTTGCCCTTGGTTACGTCAGTATATCCTTTCATTATTTTTTTTTTAATTTAGCCCAGATTACAGTATTGCTTTCGACAAGTGGATGTTGTTTGGCTAGCATAGAGATTATCTATAGGCTCAGTATGAGTAGGCCTTATAGATGGACATTATCGAATGTCTATTTGCGTATAGATCTATCCAAATGTAAACATTTGTTTACTCAGGCTTGTATCGAAATTACATTTTTGTAAGCCTTACCCGATTGGTCAAAGCTTTTACTTGACGCGTTTTATTTTATCTCTAGTTATATTATAACTAAACTGATATTCATATTTTTCCCATACTAAGCTAATGAGCTGAATAGAGCTAGTCGCGAAACTATATCTGCAAACGAAGGCGATGCAAGCGTATGTATGGCCTGGCGATGTACGCGACCCATTATTTTGTAACGGAGGCTCCGTTAACAAATATCCAAATATTTTCGCTTAGCAAGAAACCAAATTTTAGTAAAACAACCCAATCTGTACGATCGGGACCTATATAAAATTTGATCTTTAACAATTACACCTTGGACTTTCCTATTCAATAACTACATAAACTACCGTACAAGAAACACCGCGTTGCTTTAAGAAAGATGTGTTATTTTTTGTTAATACCAAAAGTGATACACAGGGCAACAGGATTAAATCCCCATTCGTTCCTTGAATTCAAAAAAGCCCGCTCTGATGCCGACGCTTAGTAAGTTTAAACTATTTTACTTTAAGCATGTATACATATATGCATACACAGTCGGGTCCTTTAGAACAAGAGGCCTGTCCCATCCGATTACTATTCCAGACAATTCTATTTACAGCGCCAACAGCAACGGACCCTACGACGGTGACAGAGATACATCCAAGAAAATTGACGTGTACCCGGGTGATTAGTGGTAATTTTTGGTCATAGACAACACACGTGATTGTTTTGTTCATGTTACCTGGTCGAGCTTATTTCCTAAAATAACTAACTTATGTTATTTATGGTTGAAAATATAATCAGAACAGCTATTAAACTGGTATCAAATCCTATCCCTGCACTGTTTTTCTTACAAATAAACCTTTATCCAGTCTAAGTAAACTCCATCCCTTAAGATCGATCTTAAAAACGTTATCTCTTAAGAAGCATAGTTCTTTATCTATTATCGCGGTTGATTACTTCCATTCCTTAGAATTGCTCCATCAATAAATATATGTATTATTAGCTTATATGTAATATACATTACAGATACTACGCAGCTCCTATTCAAGCTTCGGTCGCCGACATTACTGTGGTCGAAGTACGCGTATATTGATTTCCGTAAACGCTTACCGTTGTTTAGAGAAGCTTTAAAATTAAGTCATTTCGTAGCGCGATTTAATTATCGTTTAGCCATCTATGCAGTTCTTCTCAATGTTGCTGTTGTCATTGAAATATTAGAACAGTTAGTCCAGCGCTTCGGGACTGAAGCCCTGCGAAAAGGAAGGGGCTTAGTCAGGGAGTCGAACATCATAGGCACAAACTTTGTTATTATGAGATTACGCGTCTAGGATATTTGAAAACAACACTTAATTAAACATTTGTTCCATAATCTCTTTGTTGTTTACCGTCTATAGAGCGTATCATTGTCGAATGCAATAGTTAAAGCCAGACCATTGTGCAGGCTGCCTAAAAAATAACGTCGTGGGTCTCTGGGTCGACACTCACTAGTCCAGGCTAAGCGCGTTCAAACGTTCGATATTGAACCTGGCGCTATGACTATGTGGGTCTGTGTACTTTATTGCGGGTCATTTGGTTGCGTCTGCATTTGCACGTCGGACGGAACCTCTAGGCAAATAAAGACTATGGGAAAGCCAAAGTGAACGGTAATGTATCCGCAATGCTAGTCACGGTCGCCTTTCTTTAGCACGACGCTTTCAGCAACTGGAAGACTGCCCATAACCTAAGAAGTCTAAAGTAAGGGCATCACGCAGATTGTGCGACAGTTGTCAGCCAGAGGTTGAAAGCCAGGGTGTAATACGGTGTTGACTATTAGGAAGATCAAATGTTGGGTAACAGACAACGAATTAAGAAGCGCTTCACTAGAAGAACACCATTAGAAAGCAGTTTAAGATCCGGATCTGAAGACTAAGCGCCATGCTGAGGCAATGCTGAAACATACTCTTAAGAATGCCGATGACATCCCGACGGCACGACGTTGCCGTCCTGTTCTTCAGTAGAGAGCTTGTCTCCCTATTGATTCTCTCATAGAAGATAGAAAAAAAAGTTATTTAAAAGAAAAAAAAAATTGTTTAAGAGACGGTATACACGGAAACTGCCTCGAACATTGAGAACATCTATAGCGCATACGAATTTTTACTCACGGTTCCATTCCGATCACACTGCTTATTCTCGGAGAGATAAGAAAAAATCTATACTACCGTTCATATATCCTTTGCGTAAAGACTCAAGCCTCCAAATTATCTGCGTTTGGCCTTTGTTTTCTCTGAGATTGTGATTTTTAATTTGTATTTTTAATGTGTTCATCTATCTTTTATCTTTAGCTTTAAGTTTATCATAAGCTTTTCCAGAGGTTAACTATAGTCCTTTTTTTTCTATTTTTTTATACAAATGACACATTTTGTTTCTTTTCTAGCTGAGTCTTCTAAATCTATATTACAGAGAATCTTATATAAGAGGGTTTGAGTAGAACAATTACATACGAGCACCGCTAGGATAAGGCCTATTTGACGTGAGCCTTCAGCGTAGGCTTCAGTCTAGACGGTTTAGGCTTAGCTTCGCTGAAGCCGCTAATTTACAAATTTTCGATCCTTTTATTACACTTCATTTCGATCCACTCCCGATACTCGTCTTCTAAAGCTACAGGGTGAGAGAGAGCCTCCGGATTAATCAGCCGGGGTACTAAAAACGGTATTGTACCGGAGCTGTTTCAATAAAGTATTGTAATTCTGGTTGATAAAAATGATTGAAAACCAATATAGCCGATTAGGGGCCTGTAACATAATATTTTCTTACCTGCGCCATTCTGCTAAAATGTAGTGAACTACGTATATAGAATATTGAAAAAATAATAATATGCTAAATCCAGTGCATTCTTCTACCTTTACATATAGTGAAAGACGTATCGGGATTGGGTACTATAGGTTGATTCATGTCCATATTTCCATTGGATATGTTTTGATCCGAAAAGTACTTCTTACACAGTATATTTTTTAGCAAAGGTTTATTGCTAGATAAGATGGGCTGTAAAGGTATTCATGGCGGCATGCTAGAACGATTTCGCTTTTATGTGCAGAATTGCGGGGTTAAAGACCATGTCAAAGTCAGCAACGCCATAGAGTAGCCTTAGATGTTACTCAGGCAAGTTGTGTTTATCTATTGGTATAGGTTCTGCTGTAATTGTATCAAGCATAAAGGGAACATACGGAAGATGTATTCCTTAACTGTCAATCATTGTTCGTACAAAATATTATAATAGGTGATAATCAGATGGTTAAGTTTTAAAGAAAACTACAGCTTCGACTAGGACTGAGTAACTACGCTGATGGTACTGGGCTTTCTTCTGTTACTTCTGACAGTTGAACTTGATTCGAATGAACACATAACATAATTAATTAAATCTAAAAAAATCTCAGTAAACAGCATTTTTATGTGTTTTCCACTTATTTGTTTGCTATTATAATTATTTTCAAAGTTTTTTTTTACTTGAACGCATTGTACACTCACGAGTGCAATAGGTGTAATACTTTATCTTATTTGTACAGTTATAACAGCTTAAGCCGAACTCGTAACTAACGTTTATGCACAAAAATGAACTGTAATAATACTATGAGTTGTATGTATTGTATAACATAGTTTGTAATCAATAATATTTGCAATAGCAGCAGGTGAAAGTTCTTCGCAATCCAAACTTTCTCATAGTCTAATGGACTCCATATTAGTTACTGATATTGGTTTACTAGAAAAGCAAATATATCGTGTGGCTTTAAGCCCGAGACATTTCTCCTTAATAAATACATCCAGTAAGACCCACAGCTGCTCGGTGCTCAGTCAAAAATCAAGATACCTAGATTCCGCAATAAAAATCAGATACGACATAAACAATATACTTTCGAGCGACAAATAAATGTTCTAACCAATTTTCCTTTGTTTTTCCTTTTTCTTACTGTCTTTTCTAAGGGAGACGAAGTTCCTGCTGCTGGGTCCCAATGACGTGGGTAAGACGACATTTATGAAACAGATGCGGATTATCGGTACAACAGGCTACGAAAAAGATCTCGGTGAACATGTTTGCCCAGTTTTTATTGATCTCGTTCATGCGATGCAAACTATAGTTCGAGCAATGGACCTACTCGGCATTCCATACAGAAATCCAGCGACGGTCGAGTGTGCGATGGTTGTTTCGTCGGTGCGGGCCTCGGACATCAGCACCGGTATGCAAGACGGTACCTAATGTTTTACCAATATCGGTTCATCGAACGAGCGCTATCACTAACGCTGGCCTGGTCCATCTCACTCACATCGTTTCTTTATACGTCAGTTTCATCCGCCAGATAACGATGATGACCATGTACATATATTTCTTATATGACATACCTGTTCAGCGATTTTTCACATATCGTGCCTGCAAGGACTGCGCACATGATCTGTCCTCCGATTAAGCTGAAGCATAAGACGAATTCAACCAAACGCCGGATCCTTGTGGACCTGGCCTAGTGACAAAAATAGGTCTTCGACGATTTAGTGTACACAATGTATCTTGCTTTGCCTTTGTTCTCATCGGGATAGGCTTTCCTAGATATAGGCACAAAAGTACACACTGTAGCAGGGCCCACGGTTGATTGGAGCTGTCGTAGTGACCTATTGACAGAAGCAATTCCTGTGGTGTCTACTACGAGCCTCCAAACCGCTGAAATTATCCCACTATCGACGAATATGCCTCCGTCTTCAAATGTAGCCACCACTCTCTAAATGGCAACATTACCACTTGTCTCGCGTTTTTCTGGGACATTTCTGAATTTCGTTTTTGAATGGGACGTGCTATAGAATTGGGATAGATATGACTGCGGGATATAATTGTATAGGTGGTTCTACTCGAAGGATGATCAGGACAGACAAATAGGACCTGGTGAACAAAACGTACTTGTGGGCAAAGTGATGGGGGAGATGCAGCACTAAAGCTACATGAGACAGAAGTTGTCAAGAAAATTAAAGGAGATTACCAAAAAACGCAAGGGAGATCAGCGGGAGAGGGGAAAGGGAAAAGTAAAAGGACGGACGAAAAGGATTTAACCTGGAAAGAGGGATAACAGAAGTGGGTTAATTATCATTCTTAATTATTTTGTTCGTGGTTCGTTCGCTGCTTTTTGTTATGAAAGCGAAAGATCCCCTTCGGTTTCTGCTTCTCCCCCTCTACCTTGTTCTATTTTCGGCTTTTTCTCTTCATTTTTTTTGCGTTGCTCAGGTTACTTGTGTCTTCTGTGAATCGCTTTTTTCGTTCCGGCCCCAGCTGTCCTATCTGGATCGTTTCCACATCAGCTGGTGCTGACCCTATCGCCCGTCTTAAATCGTGTTAAATGGACTGCGCGACCTGCTGTCTTCTTTCCATGGTAGTTTGCTTTAACTCTGCGGTTGTCCAGTCGGCTCAGGGTTGTTATTGTCAAAGCACCTAGTTGTTGCTTGCGCCGCCATTTCCTACAAGAACCATTTCAGCAGCTCACTATCATTGCTGGGTTAAGATCGATAGCTGTCGTTAAAGGCGGCGAAATCTTCTGCTACCTTCTAGAGTCTGCGCCTTGCTCGCCATATGCTTTAGCTAGTTAGCAGGTCGCCCTGGAAATACCCCTGGAAATTGCTACAGTCGTGTGAAAACTCAAGAGGGCATCAGGCGAAGCAAATGCACGTACGGTCATCTATGTTCGATGCATCGGTTTCATATAATAACAGATACCCGGTCAATGATTCGATCAATTTGTCGAATCTGCACAATATTACGATCATATTTAAACGGCAATATTTATTGTAATGTTCTAAATCTCATATAGCCCCGACGAGCGTCTCGGGATTCACTTTATAAACCCAAAACGAATGCTTGATTTTTAATAGCTTCCTTACATACATGAAGGGTAATCGTGAACATTTCTCGACGGATGCGCTATTGTAGATTCCCATTTGTACACAAACTTTCGCCCTAAGAAAAAAAATGCAAGAAATAATTCCAGCGTTGTTGGGTCAAACAAATAGGACAGATTTAGTATGACCACTAGAAGAGAACTTTTAGCTTCGATTGGCATGTGTTCTTCTTACTGAGCTTTCTCTTTAACGACTTCGACATCCCTAATGCGCAATGGCAGGTGCTGCCGTCCTCTTGGTATCGCATTGTGTTCAAATCGAACTTATCCAGTTCTGATTAGAAGAAGCTTTTTACGTTGCGAGAAATTAAAGTGCTCGTCCCCGTAATGGTGCAGTGCTAACGTGTTTGTTCTGTCGAACTCAGAGACACGGCATAAATTTAAAAGTCGGCATAGATGCGCTTCGTTTCATGCTGGGGACCAGTCACACAAAGGCGATGCTTAACTGTGCTAGGGGTGATGCAGTAGTACCGCAAGTTAAGCTTGAAACACGTATTCATATTGAAATGTTTGCGATCTCTAACATGTTCTTGGCCACTGCATTAGCGTCTTTCCACCTGAGGCATAAAATGTTGCGTATTAAATACAGACGCGTATTAAATACCCACTCGCTCTAAATCATACCACCAGGAAACGTAAAAAGGTCCCCAAAGATGACGCAAGCTTACCCCATAATGCATGGCAGCATTAGAAAAGTGGAGCCCAGGGATAATCACTTCGAATAATTTTAATTTATTCGGCATCCCTACTAAACTCCATGATCAAAAGGCTTCTGCTACTCTTCAGTGTTTCGTCTGCATCGACGGCGAATTATACCGTATACATTTGAATTAAACTGAAATCGAAAATAAGTGATCCTACTTAAGATGCTGTTCCGAAAAGAGATTAGGAAGATTAATTTAGCTTTTTCAAAAGCGGTTAATCAGTAAACTATGTTCGCTACTAAGCGGTGACCGCGTTGAGAAACCAGGAACGAAGCTATAGCACTATATATTATATATATATATAATATGACGTACTAAATGCTTCGAGATTCCGTTAGTGCCATTTGGCCCTCTATCAGACACCTGGCTTCCAGCACGAAATGAAGTGTGTATACGCTAGGTTCGAACCTAGATCATGACGTGTCCTAAACATTAGCAAACAATTATGTTTCCCCTAAAGCTATCACATATGACACTGTGACAATGCCAATATGAATTAAGCACAGCAAACGGTTTGCAGACAACGCTGTCCATTGCTGAGGGTCAGTAATGTTTAAAGTTATATATTTTCAAACAGGGGATTGAGTTCGAGCGTGCCGGTGATAGCGAATTGATCAACGAGGTCACTTTCCAAAGTCCTGGCGGAGAGACAATGCATTCTGTGATGAAAAAACCATGCATCTGGAGCAGTGTCCAACGGCTTAGGGAGTCAATGTGAAAGACAAAAAATCCTTGTTCCAAAATGAGTTCGGGACTGGTGCAGTGTTGATTTTTAATTGAACAAAGTTGGCTACGCGCTCTATTTGACACTAAAATACTCGTGTGTAATTTATTTCAGCCTTACCGATGAACCTGGTAGAAGCGCTTCGCCGACTCTGGGACGACCCCGGAATTAAGGAGTGCTACAAACGCCGTATCGAGTACGGCTTAGGTGAAGGAGCCCAGCACTTTGTCAAGAACATAACCCGCATTACAACGTCCGGTTACGTGCCTAGCCAAGAGGATTACCTTTGTATCAAAACACCATCCAAATGTACGGACTTTGTTATTCTACCATGCCTTTTCAGCGTTGAATTGTCTATAAATAGAGTCAGCTCGATATCGTCCAGCTCTAACACTTGTATACTGTACATTTGTGGTTGTGCGCATTAATATTTGTGGTAGTCTCAACAAGACTTCAGAGGTGAAAGTGGTGAAATATTCCGGACACCCGAAGGTCACCTCAGTATAACTCTATTTTTTCTATTTCATATCTTAGATATCAGCGAATATAATATGATGCTTGATGACGAGTTCCCCTTGCGCTTCGTCGATGTCGGCGAGCAGAAATCGGAAACGAAGAAGTGGATTCATTGTTTCGAGGACGTCGGCGGCGTCATCTTTATGGTGTCGTTATCCGATTATGACAACGAGGCGAAGATGCTCGAGTCACAGAAACTATTTCAGTTAATTGCTCGTTCGAATTGGTTTACTGAATCGCATATACTGCTGTTGCTCAACAAAAAGGATGTCATGGAGGAGAAAGTGAAACACGGTATGCCCTTTAGCGACATTTACAAAGATTTTCACGGTGTAAACAGCGATGTACGCTCCTGTCGCGAATATATGCGCAGAATGTTCGCCCAGCTCGAGCCGGATCGCCCGGTCTACTTTTTCTTTACGAATGCGACCGACACCGAGGATATTAGATATGTTCTACCCACGTTGCGAGAGATAGCCAGCGCAAAGACGGGCACCCGAAATCGCGAGGTGTCAGATGCCGCTACGTCCACGTCGGCGATGGCTGCTGTTGCGGCGGCCATGAACGGCGTGTCCACGGCGGCAGCTGTGGGAGCGATCGCGTCGCCAGGACGAGCACTGGTCTGTCCCACAGGGTCAGCCACCAATACGGCAGCTCTCGTACACCCCCTGGACAATCACGATGAGCACGATCCACTACCGTCGACCCGACCTCCTCAACTCCATCAGCTGCCGCCCACGGCCATCGTACCGTTAGAATCGCCACTAATTTCATTAATAAGCCCTCATCATCCGAAATCTGGTAATATTGCCAGCGTCAGTGTTAACCATCCGTATCCGCCCCAACACTTGCCTATGACGACTGATCCTGCTGCTGGCCGGCTTCACGCCCATCTGCAAGATCATCGTCATGTCAGCTCACAGCAGCAGAATCACAGCCATCATCATCAGAATCGGTATTACCATCGTCACAATAATCAGAACCATCAAAACCAAGTGGAGGATATCGGCAACAATCCGTATGCGCAGCATTATTCGATAGCCACTACACCGCCCCCGATGCTACTGCAGAACCGGTTTCACCCACACCCCAGCAGTAATAAACATAAACACGAACATCAGAAGCATCATCATCATATACACCAGCATACAAACAATCACATACATCGACATTAAGTTAAGTGAAAAAGGAACTAACAGAGATCTATAGTACGCCAGTAAATGGCCATAGCTTGAAATTGTAATCCGATTAATATCCAAATAAATTTTATTGCTACTGAGAACCAATGATCAATTAGACCATTGCTATCGATATGGTGTTTTGTGTTCGTTGAGAAAAGTATAGCGTACTCAAAGATAGGGCGTGAAGGTGTTCGTCTAAAATTATGCTGATAACTTGAATAAATACTAACAATAACATAAACAATAATCATGATCTAGTTTAAACAAGACTTTTCTTGTCTCGTAAGCGAAAAAGTCAAAAAAAAAAGCCAATACTATCAAATGTACGCTGCTGAACATCATCACAGTCTTCGCTGTAACATACTGACATATCACAAACGTATTGGTGCGCGACAAATTACAGATACGGATGCCCGCAAACCCATTCTCGTGGAACAGAGCTGATAAATTGTACGGCCAATGGTGATATAGACCAATTATGTTGTTGCCAATGTGCAGCTAGTATATCTTGATTATTAGATGAAGTTGATTGCCCATAAAAAAAATAGCAAGTAGCCCGTCAAGACATGACGCTATGGGGAGATAGTTCAAAAGCCGGCTGACAGCCACAATAATGAAACTAGCCAGACACCTATAGCCCGATCATTATCATCATCCGATCTTTTTTTCAGTGTAAGCCCATAAGACCACAACACGCCCATTCTATTCTGCCTGTGTGTAGTCAACTTCGCTGCAACCCCCGATTTTTACTGCTAAACCCCCGTAGACATGAAATGATCATGATGGCTTATTAACTATTGCTGGCAGATTTCAGTTATAATTGCTACTAGCTATTAACATACATTATTATAACTATACCTATATATACCTCGGCAAAAACTCTTTGTGACGACACGATCTGATTAATATACCGATAACAGTGTTCTTCACGACTGATAATGCTCATGCAACTAACAATAATTGAATTATAGATCCGATATATCATAAGAGGGACATTTAAGAGATGAGAAACAACCGTACAGTTTACTACAGATTTCAGTCTTGAGGATTTCTGTTAACTGCGAGTCGTCTGACTCGGTGAAGCTCACGTACGCAATTTTTCTCTAACGCACATCCACTCGCTCATGTGTAATGATGGTGAAAAGTGATTATAGGGATTTCAAATAACTTAATCCTTACGACAACTTACAGTTACTGTTAGATAGGTCCTAGATATCTCGTTTATCTATAGCTACGCCTTATTGCGTAGTTGTTTTCATAGTAGAGAGAATACAGTGTCTAGAATGCAGGACATCTTTATTCTTAAAAAAGATTTGCGCCTTTTGAAAAACTCTCATCAATCGGGAATAAACCCGGTTCGGTGTCAGGCTAGCGATCTCGCAAAATAAAGCTACACTTACGCAACCGGATAACGCTCCGGCCTCAGCGGGCCACTGCGCACAGAATCACGTGCTAAAGTGGACGAGTAGTACAAGATAAACTGGTAATGCACATACAGCCCTGTAAATTTTGCGACTAAATCTAGTGGGAAATGGTGCTGCCCCTTAGGGGTCGGACCAGTGAACATAGGTAAATCAAATAGGAAGCGCCTTACGTGACAACTCAAGCCCAGTCGACGAATAGTTGACAAATAGAATCGGCCAAGTACAGAAACCGTTGGGCTTCTATTCACCGAGACGAGCTTTTTGGAACCGGAAGATCCTCTAATGAGATACGCCTGCTAACGTCCGTGTATCTCAGTTGTTAAGGCTGTTAAAATTAGTAGAACTATGTAGCGCGATGGCCTTTCAATAGGCAAATGAATGAAATTGATTTGATTTAGGTAGTATAGGCTAGATTTACAATGAGATCAAATTCAGTTTCAACGAAAGTGTAGACGATGCAACGTTTTATTTCCCTATTATTACAGATGACTCATACCTCACCTAGCTAAGGTGCGCCGTTCCAAAATTGATGGGGGCAATTACCACATGTAGCATCAATGGGCTCTTGTGGTAACGACTAGTGGTGCACAGACTGAGAGTAAAAAAGAAAACTGCAATAATAGTCCAATTCAGTCATGATCCATTCAAATCGATCGAGACCGGTGGCTCAGATCATCATTATAGCAATGGGAGATTCCAAACTGGTCTATCGAGGCCCTATTTAATTATATCTTCTATATACCATATTCTTTTATATATCAACAGGTTACGAGGTTGGACCTTTTTTGACGAAGCGCAGTGAACTATTCGAAATTACATATATGATGATCAATCATAGCTGTTTAAGTTATTGCATTGCATAAACGTGCTTACTTGGGTCATACAAAATGCCTCAAAAGAAACAACACATCTGAACTGTACAGCACACCCTATGTACTTAAAGTGGTAGCAATACCATTAATAACAATGTACATAGTACCATTTCCGTATGTAATTCAGCTGACTTAATGTACATTGTAAAATAATGTTCCATCTCATAACAAATACTGGACACAAGTTGGCAGAACTGAAAGACAAATAGATATGTTAACATACACCATTTATCTACTCGTCACTCATGTATTGTCGCCACATGCCAACCTAAATTTCCAACGCAACAAGGAACAGGGTCTTTAAAGGTCCTTAAAAGTTCTAAACTAGGGGACATTAAAATAGGGGACCTCAAAGGCTCTAAACAAGCTAACGAATACTGTTGGCAAACGTACTGCTGAGCGTGAGCATTGGGACAACAGTGATCGTAGAACTCAAATTTATGTCGCTCAGAAGCACCAGAGCAGACGAGAACCAAGACGTTCCATGCCATGTTGTTTAAAGCAGAGAGATACGTACGCCTCTAGTAAATACAACAAATATCGACGATAAAAACTATGGGGGCATCACAAGAATTACAAAGAGGGAACCACACTCAATAGGCTAGCTTTAATTCAATGGTTATTTTCTACATTTAATGCAATTCGGCTGGTAGTTGTTGTCGTCTAAAACTTTAGAAAGTACATAATTTGCGAAAATACGAAATTTCTAGCATTCAAAATATACCGAGATTTATATGACAAAAATATCACGACTGCCGGTATTACACAGGGTCCTATACCTTAAAAAATGAACAAATCAAAACGTCAAAGATCCTAGCCGGAACAGAAGGACTCGCTTAATTTCGCATCTCGTTATACCTGACAAGTCGCTGATAGATCAGGCAGTGAAATATGTTATGCAGTTCGAATACCATAAAAATATAGATAAATTTATTAGCTAAGAATGTAAAACGTACAAGAAGCACCAATTGTGATCGCTTCATACCGCTGTGAATTCTGATGTTGACCAGGCGGATCAGCGCTAAAAAAGAAATTATCAGAGAGATAGAAACAAAAACTTAATCGAAGCTCATCTCATTAAATACACAAGTAATAGAACTTATTCGCTATAGAAATGAAGGGAGTAAGTAGTCCTTAAGCCCCTAATACTGTTTGTTGTTGTTGTTGTTGTTGTTGTTGTTTACCCATTGCGGAAAAATTGGTGCGAGGCCTCCACCGCCAGGGATTACGGGCGGCATCACCCCGGGGTCCGTATAACTAATCTTAATTTAGCTTCCCTCTCAACTCTTTCGCTAGGGGCTTGTATAATGAATTGTACAAGTCCTTAGCGAAAATAGGCAACAACGTGAGAACTCTTTGTTTTTTCTCAATGGCAGACATTTTCTATTACGGCTATTCACAACAGTCACTTTACTGTATATAGAACACGATGGCGGCCGATGGCCGCCGTACCAGTCGAAGCATGTGGTGAGATCTGCATGAAATAAGCTGCTATGAAAGACGTATTTAAGAAGAGAGTTAATTGATTCAATTAACAGGGTGTGATATATTAGAAGGAAGCTAATGTTCTGGGTTAAATAGAAATAAACCAGTAGAGCGTGAGGGAGGCGTTCGGAGGCTCAGGAGTTGGGTCAATTAAGAGCGAAAGTAATGTTTACAATTGACTGTGCACTCTCATTCGTCAACTCCTATTTAGTCTTGAACAAATAAAACAGTCGCGTATTTTAGGGAAATCGATAAACAACAGGTGGCGGGCCTTAGCTTATACAACAATTATAATGATATTTATGTATGAATAAAATACTTATATTCCACATTTATCGGCCACTAATTTTGTAATATATACACCAAGTTAATATATATGTACGCTGATTATATAATAACATGATAATACGACTCTACCCACGTAACAACTAAATAATAAATTAACTGAAGGACATGAATAAATTATTATAGAAATAATATAAATGTATGATTTTTTCGGAAATAAACAAGGAAAACGCTGAGAAATGTTTGCCTCTTCAGTAGATTCGTCCATATGCATTAGCTAACGAGGCGGGGGATATGAATTTTACGAAAACAGTAACAAAACAACGAGAGACCACAAGTTTCGACAAGCCGTACGGACCAAACATCTTTTCTAGATTTAGTAAGTTTTTTAACTTTGTAAGCAATGCTACCATATGAAAGTAATACAAAACTGTTCTCACGTGCAACGTATACAGATAATGATAGCTACTTAGTGGGAGCAATATTATAGACGTAGACTATCTTACAAAATAGCATAATCAGATGAATAGTCATTTCCCGGGTTGGGCTAGTTTAGTTTTTGGGTCAACGTTCCTCACAATATGATCATCCTTATGTGTGTTGCTCATACCAAACACATAGGGCTTCAATTGTGACTGACTCGTTGTACAATAAAGTACCGTGTGAAAGAAATAGAAAATTTCAGCAGTTTCTGAGATTTGTTTTTGGTCTATGATTCAATTTATATCGACAGTGTTGAGTCATTTCATATAACCGGAACGAAAAACAACAGGATGCAGCTCCTTCTATTACAATTTGACCTGAATAATTTAATCTCTGACAATTTTGCCTGATACTTCATGCTAGGAGAACATGGTAGAGAGATATCTTCAGCTTCTAGACAAATAGCCTATTTATTATAGGCTTATTTAAGTGGCCGAAACGGACCAGTACGCTAACCAGCTAACTCTGTTCACTAATATTTGTTTTTCGCGCATACAATCGCCGAAGCGCCATCATTTATAAGTTCATAAATAAACGGTCAACTTTCTGTTTCTAGACAAGGCTGATTTCAGGGCACTTCATCATGGTTGAAATATCTTCATTTATAAAGTGACGTTTCAGTAAATTTTTATGTCTAATCTATACTACATAATACTAGATATATACTAAAATGATTTAGGACGGCACAGGTTGTTTAATTACGCTTCAGTAGTTGACTAACTCTAAACACCGATTAGTACGAGAATGCCCACAAGAAGAGTACAAAGAAGAAAAAAATTACGAGTCAATCAATTAAATGCATCTTCTGAGGCCATCTTCAGTCGTTCTCTTATACTATGTTAAATCCTTTCAAAGCCAGTCGAAGTTCGAGGTTCGGCCTGCGACAAGGGTGAGCATCCAAGACAAAGAAATAGTGATAGGCAGTAGCTGCTCGAAGAAAAAAAGTAGTGCAACTATCATATAAATGGTTATTATACCAAAGCTAGTTGCCAGACTCTATTTCATTTGTGGACCACCTATCTTAATACATCACTAACATTACAGTTATAAGACAGCAGCTTCGATCATCTGATCCCATGATGAATCCTGATCTTTAATCAGGATTGCATACTATTTCAAATGGGTTGAGACCTGCTTGGGATCTATTTCATAGCTATAACGCAATAATTTTGTAGTTCAGCAATAATCTATAGCAGTTTCACTATATTACATGAACCGCTCAGCTACTAGATGACTAAATTTGTTGACTTTTAGCTGGGTTACAAGGATGAAATTTCTATTGGGTCTTTTAATGAAGCAAGTCATCGTTGGTCTATGCTCGATCACCCAGAAAATGTCGGTGTTAAAATGTGTACTTCTCAAAAGATGCAAAGGAAACAATACCTGCTATTTTTAACAGCATCAGTCATTTCAGGCCACGCAAGGCGTCACAGATGGTTCTGCCCAAAGAAGCCTAAGCAACACAAAGCTTAAAGTTTCGACGAAGGTCTCATGGAAACGCTGTTCTTGCTCCAGTGGATCCTAGCATGCACCAACTAGATTTTCAAAAAAAACATTCGTATTTGTACGCTCTCAAATCAACACTTCAGACAACCGGTCACTTCTGCTATATATGTCAATTAGTCGGGAGTGTCTCCAGGGAAAGGTACGTGGCCGGACTCACTCTGTGATGCAGTAACCGTTCATAATTAACTTTAGGTTTTGTTCAGGTTGCCTTAGCTTGTCTTGCTAATCATCATGGCTTGCATAAAGCAAGAACGCTGATGGGAAGACTTGGTTTGAGACTTTCATAGAAAATCCGGCAAAAAACTAGTTTGCGTACATTGGAAATAAACAATGCGGCATGAGCTTACCAGACGGGTCACACAGATGATTAATTAGGGTCTGAAGGGACTCAAAAAACGTTCATTGTCTTCGATGGGCCTTGATTTATATACGTTTGCACAGTTGTCGAATTCTACAGGTTTTACAGGAACACTTATTGTTACAGGCTGCCGTTTCAACAGAGAAAACGTCGTATCTTCATGTACCTGTTTTTTGCCGTATCTCACTCTGACGGGCCAGGTCCAAATCAACACATGTCAGAGACCTTAAAATGGTTTAGTTTAGGACACCTGAAAACGCATTTCAGGAGAGAAGGCTTATTTTAGATTAAAAAACACAGGTTCCGGATTGAATTTTTTCCATCGCAGTGGGCACTCTTGAAATTTGTAGAAAAACTGATGAAAGGGCTTAACAGTTATTAATAACCAAGCAAAAACATTGACTGAACCACTTTGGATGTATAACTTTAAATCGAAAATTGCGAGAAGGTACCTAATGAATCTACAAGTGGAAAGACATGTATGTGCATTGCGTCAGTCGCACGTTTAAGGAACCACTTAGAGAATCTGTCATAAGTCAACTGATTATTAGAAAGTTGTTATAAGTCAGAACGTTTTTGACATATATATATATATATATATATATATATATATATATTTAGTGACGTTTCGCTACACGTATTTCATACACAATACATGCCAACAACTGTATTTTATGCGATAAAAAAATCTCAGAGTTATTGCAGTACCAAGAAACATGTAGTTACCCCACACATCGATGTATTTCGGGAGTTTCAAGAGGGGTTAAGGTTGTTTTAATGAAGTAACCTGTACTTTTGTAATGAATATAATGATAGTATAAGTACGCTGGGCATGTACGGCGTCTGATTGACAAATAGTTTGAACCTGCACCATAAATGACAAGGTCGTGTGCCTGCAATCGTCTCTAACAGCAAATTGACAACGTAAATACGCCTCCTATAGCACCGTTACGTGCATATGAGTCATAGGAATTACGTGCATCGGACACACAATTTCTATAAGTCTTTTATGACGCATTTATGTATACATTTTTACGGATTTGGCAGCATCGAACGAAAACAGTCAAATACCTATTTACATTAATATTTAGTGTCCGTATTGATAGCGGCGAGTGTTCTATGTTGACAACTCATCAAATCGACCAATAACCACATGGTCAAAAACAAAAAAGTCGTCATTACCATTGAAGGAAGTGCAGTCTGTTCCAGCCGCAGCGGGCAGCGCAATCGGTGGAACTAGGTGTACAGATTCTGACAAAATCCAAGGCCAATCTACAGCAATTGTAATATTTTCGAGTTCGTTTCAATAAATGAACCCAGCACAGACTGTCAGGATCTAAGCCTGGGATTGGCAAGCGGATATCAATCATCGAGGGAGGAAGCTTCCGATATCTGGCGGTAAGCCAATAAATTAGGATGACTCCGGAAAAATCAACAGCACTCCTGAGATTCGTCACAAATTGCCAATACGGTGGAGTGGATGTGCCTGCAAAATTGCATATGGGACTTTTTTTTTTGTCAGGAGCATTTGCAATAACAGCAGCAGAAGCACTCGGAGCGACGGGCGATGGCGCGGCATGGGTCCGTATGGGTGAGCAGCCATTGGAGTTTTAGTCGGAAGTAAGTGGCGGCAATGGAAGTAAACGTCGTCATAGGAACGCAGGCAAGACAAACAGCATACGTTGTTGCCAGTCGCTGACAGTACTCCGAGAGCTTTTCCATACGGCGGCAAAGGGTAGGGAAATAAGGAAGCCGAGCGATTTCTTGAATGGATACCATCAAGGGCTGGTGAATGCGAAATCGAGAATGCTAAGCGAGAGAAAAATAGAAAACTACTTGAGTGAGAAACCCTGACCTTTCGTATTTATTATGCAAGAATCCGCCTGGTATATATGGTATCGAAAATGTATAGTATAGCCTGAAGGTTTCGATATGCCAATGGATTGTGTGACAGTAGCACGATGGAACCCAATGTTCGTAGAACAGCACCAGATCTAGGTAGGATTTGCAGCGGGTAAAATAGATGTCATTTATTTCGCGTGTGAGATACACCTAATTGAAATACCGAGCGAGCGATTTCGTTCTACATGTATCAGCGGAAGTGATTCTAATCAAGCTGACTTTGGAAGCTCGTTAGTATTTAGTTATTTAGAAGTAAAAATCAGCTATCTACCAAGATAAGATAGATGACGCATAATCGGATGCGGTGTTTATTTACGTTTAGCACACGGCTCACTTGCGCTTTTTCGGGTCAAAGGTTAGGTAACCCAGTGTCAAAGATAAATACCCTACTATTCCGTTTCATCAGTCGATTAAAAAAATTCAAATTATCAAGAGCATACAAATTCGATGATCGGTCGCCGGCTCAATACATGTAATCAGTAATTTTATTAACTTCACTGCATAACTAATTTGAATCGCAAAGGAAACTTAACGAATATTCAAGGAAATGCCTCCACATTATTTTATTTCCACGATACGATATACGATTCTGTGATAGAGTAATTACGAACGCAATATCATATCTTTCAGATCTAGCGGTAGAACTCTATCTTAAATTGAACTCGCGCTCGGATCGGATTGTCCAGAACGGCGATCGCGAAACTTAATTAGGGTAGCCACCCGTTGCCCTGACCTGTTTCCATGGCCTGCTTATCGGCGACCGTATGGCTTCACCTGTTCCTACTCTGGCTGCTACCTCCATTGCTACTTA